CTAGTGGGGTGATTTTGATGATTTCATTCAAGCACAAACTCATTTCACACGCATCACGTCCATTTACATCATGTTACCGCAAGAGTACAAGGTTTTGTTTTGAAATTTTCTGATTTTTAGGGTTTTTTTTTTGGGTTTTTATTTTACCACGTGCAATAGGGACAAACAAACACTAAGACTCACCACCCCACACTCAGGATGGAACAATGTCCCTAATGTTCAACTCCTAATCTAAACATGCACGGGTTTGACACAACAAAAAAAAAATTAAGAAAAGAAAACTCACCTTGGGTTGCCTCCCAAGAAGCGCTTGTTTAACGTCCTCAGCCTGACACTCATGGAGCTTTCAACCAATGGGTATGGAAAGGTATCCAGAATACCCTCCCGAGCAATGATAGAACGCATACCCTCCATCCAACATATGAGTTACCTCTGCAGGGCCATGTGTGCGAAAATTGGGTATGACCTTCTTAATTTGCATGTTGGACCCTTTAGTGAGGCGTAGGTGGTATTGCAGTGCCTCAAGCAAGTACTCTTCCTATTTCAATGTCAGCGAAGAAGGAATAATAACAGGAATATTGAAATCCTTACCCAAATATCTATACTTGAGGTGATCTGGCAAGGATTTTTGTCTTTGCTTTGATTACAGAATCTGAGCAGATAGGACATGTGATAGTTGTTCAGGTTGTCCACTATCACAGGAGAAGGGATTTTTCCTTTCTCGAGATCCACTTTCAAAGTCATCAAATGCATCATGATTATGATCAACTTGAAAGACATTAAAAATTTCCTCCTCCTTACCTACTCGGAATGTCAATTTGCCTCTCCCAACATCGATGAGTGCATCTCCAGTTGCTAGAAAAGGTCTCCCAAGAATGAGAGGCACTCCCTGATCTTCTTCCATCTCCAGAATCACAAAATCTGTAGGGAGAATAAACTTCCCCACCTTCACCAATACATTATCCACCACTCCCTTTGGAATTTTCACTGATCGATCGGCCAATTGGAGAGTGATCCGAGTAGGCTTAAGAACATCTCCCAATCCCAATTTCTTGTAGACCGAGTATGGCATCAAATTAATTCCTGCTCCAAGATCACAAAGTGATTTATCGAACTCTGTACCTCCAATGACACATGGAATGGTGAAACTGCCCGGATCATCCCTCTTTTCTGGTAATTTATTCTGAATCACAGCACTACATTCAGAAGTAAGGGTTACCTTCTCTAGATCAGCCCATTTACGCTTCTTTGTCAACAACTCCCTTAAGAATTTAGCATATGTAGGCATCTGTTCAAGTGTCTCCGCCAACGTATGTTGATATGAAGTTGCTTGAAGAGATTCACAAATTTCTTGAAGTTTGGGTCTTCCATGGGCTTCATTAACCTCTGAGGGAATGGTGCGGGAGGTTCATAAGGCTTTACATCTTCCTTCTTCAATTTTTCCACTTTTTGAGGTGCACAGGAAGAATGCTCACGCACAGGCAGATTGCATGCAGTTTGCCTGTGTAAGTCAGATTTTTCAGCTTTTGCAGTTTCTTCCTCTGCAGCTGCTTTGCCCTCCTTTTCTACCAGATTTTTCTTGCTCTTTGGATCCTCCAACTCCTTCTCACTCCTCAATGTGACTGCTACAACCATGGCGTCCTTTGGATTCCTCTCAGTATTTGCTGGTAAAGTCTTAGGAATCCTACCTTGAATATCTGCCAAAGTTTGAGCCATCTGGCCTATTTGCCTCTCCATAGCTAGCATAGATGATTGCATATTATTGTTGATGGCTAGTTGTTGAGTGACAAATTGATCAAAACCCTTGAAATTATTGTCTATTTTTTGCATATGAGCCAAAATCAACTCCTCTAACTAGGGCTTCTTCTCTAGTTGAGGTTGTTGCTGTTGAAAACGAGGAGGTGGGATGTTTCGAACACCAGCTGGATTATTGTTCGACCATGACAAATTGGGGTGATATCTCCATTGAGGGTTGTATGTATTTGAATACATACCACCCTGGCCTTGACTTCGCGGATTATTGATATATTCGACATCTTCCAACTGAGCAGCTCCCAGTGGACACATATCCTTATGATGAGGACCCTCGCAAAGTTCACATGAAACAACCTCCTCTTGTCTACCCAGAGCAATCTTGGCCAGCCTTCGTTCGAGTGCATCGAACTTAGAATCCAGCTTGGCATCTATCTTGGCTTCTAGACTCTCAACTCTGTTTATCTCATGCAAGCCTCCTCTTCTTCGAATACTGGTCTCACTACCCCATTCAGTGGCTTCTGAACAGATCTTCTCTACCAGTTCATATGCTGCTGGAGCCTCCATCCTTGTGAAACCATTTCGAGAAGCATTATTTAGGGCATCCCAAAACTCCCTTCTGATTCCATTGAAGAAAATAATGATCATGTTCCAATCTTCAAGACCATGGCTTGGGCATCTCATCAATAGCCCCTTATAGCGCTCCCATGCATCAGTAAGACTCTCATCATCAGCCTGCTTAAAAGTAACAATCTCTTCTTGCCTCTTCATTGCCAAGGAAGGTGGGAAGTATTTATCCAGAAAGACCTTTTCAAGCTGAGGCCATGTCGTGATGGAACGTGGTGTTAAGTTCTGAAACCAGTGTGATGCATTCCCTATCAGAGAGAATGAGAACATCCGAAGACGAATTGCATCATCAGACACAGTTGGACTCTTCATCGTATCACATATGCTCGCAAACCGGCGGAGATGTTCATGAGGATCCTCAGTGCTAGTCTCGGAGAAAGTATATCCATTGGTGATCATATTGATGAATGTTGGGGTAATTTCCATGGTTGCATCCCCATCCGGATGACAACACATGAAGCTCGGGCTCCAGTCCTTCGATTCAGACGAGCCTTGATTAATCAATCCTCGTCTGCCATGATGTCTGGCTCAATGTCACGAGGTGGTGGTGTCGGTGGTGTAGGGACGATAGGTGATGAAGCCTGCCCTCTCTGTTGACGATTCTTGGTTAGGGAAGTCCTAGGATTTGTGGTTGTGGCAGGCTGCTTCCCTAACTTGACCTGCTTCCTATTCTGTAGGCAGGTCCTCTCTATCTCTAGATGAAGTGGCAGTAAATTGCCGGTCGTCCTCCTTGGCATGCACGAGGAAGATAAACCTGAAAATTCTTCTGCACACTAACACCCAGATCAAACTAGTTCACTCACAAAAATCAACAAAAATAAGGTATGGCAGTCCCCGGCAGCGGCGCCAAAAACTTGATAGGGGAAAAGCGCAATGCCAATTCCTATCTTGTACTAAAACCGAAAATTCGGGTATCGTCTCTCAGGGACTGGTACAACCTTATAATTTATCAATTCTTTGGAGCAAACTACAAGTGAAAAAGGGTTTGGTTGATGAGGTTATTAACTACTAGCAAAATAATTAAACTAATTAAGCAAAGTAAACTCGTCGGGAGAAATTCAATGGGAGAAAGCTCTGTGAGATACACCGGGATTCACTACCTATCATATCCAAATTAATTCACATATTCCAATCAATTTAATCCATATCTCTACAGCCAGGATATCACTACTGTGCTAGCTATCCCTGTCGGGAATTACTACGTACTAAGCAATCAACTCAAATCCTACTGCAGTAGCTCAATGAATTAATTGTTCAGCCTGAAGACCGATATCTCAATCAAGACCACATAGCATCTTATTTAATCCACTGTCGCTTCGATAAGTTACTATGTCACATGAAACAGGTTCAGTTATTAGGGTTTCACTGTCGCTAATAACCTAATTAACTACGATTCATTGTATTGGTGGCCAGTCAACACAAAGCATTAAGTAATTTCATGCAATAGAGATTGGAAGAAAAGAACTATGAATCAATCATTCAATTCTAGAAATAGCTACGTCCTATGGTGTTTCCCCCAGAAATTGGGGTTTAGTTCATGAGGAAAATAAAACACACAATCATGTTCATAATAATGATGATATTAATCAATGAAAATTGATGAAAATACTCTGGAAAAGGCTAAATTGGAGGCTGTTGATTCGTCGCGCAGCTCGCCAATCGAGCCTTCTCCGCAGTTGCTCGCTACGCCGCGCAGTTCTCCTTTTTCTCCAAAAGAATTCCCGCTGCGCTCCTCTCGTCCTAATCGCCAAAAGAATTCCGGCCCCCAACAAGTTGCCGCCTTTTTCTTTTGCCCAAAGAATTCGCCTCCCCTCGTCCAAAAATTGCTCCGCGTCCAAAAAATTTCCCCTTAGAAGCCGTTCCAAAATTCCCAGCCGACCTCCTCTTTTCCTAGTTGCCAGCCGACCTCCTGCTTTTCTTTTCCCCCTAGAGAATTCCCTTCCAAAAAACCCTCTGGCCAATCTTTCCCCTCGTCCCCCCTTTTGTAAAAGTCTCTGTCCACCCAATAATAATCGCCTCCCAAAAAATTGCTCCCCTGGCCGCTTTCAGTTTCGTATCCAATTAATTGGACCTCTCCCTCGCCCAATATTTCCCGGCCCAGCTTCCTTTACTTTGGCCCAAAGAGAATTAATCCCTTTTCCAAGTCCCGGGGAAAGAAAGAAAAATAATTGGATCTCCGGATCGATCCAAGTTCGGTCCAATTAATTCAGTTCGCTCCAAAGTTCTTCTTGTGTTTCTCTTTTCATTTGCCTGTGCTACTGCAATCTGCTTGTGCAACCACATTTCCTTGCTTTACTACCTAAATATATCACAATACTAACACATGGCGGCAATAGTCTTATAACCATTCTAGAGTCAGTTGGCCTTAAAACAAGCATTATATGTCTCAAACATATTATGAAATAATCACATTAAGCACATGGAATCGATATGTTTTCGACAATTATCAAGATTGTAGGATTTTTAGAGAAGATTTCAACATTTCCTATAAGGGTTCCAAGATTCCTCACCCTATGGGGAGCTAGATTGAGAGCAAGCTGAGCCTAGAGCTCTTGAAAGCTGTGTAGGGAGCTGGATACAAGAAACCTTCACCTATTCAAATGGCTGTCATTTCACTTGGTATGCGACAGCGAGATGTAATCGGTATTGCCGTGATTGGTTCTGGTAAGACTGCTACTTTTGTTCTCCCCATGCTAACTTATATCTCTAGACTGCCTCCAATGAGCGAGTATAATGCAGCAAAAGGACCTTATGCTGTTGTTTTGGCACCAACCCGTGAACTAGCACAACAGATTAAGGATGAAACTGTGAAGTATGCTCATTATTTAGGTATCAATGTGGTTTCAATTTGGGCAGTCTATAGAGGAGCAAGGGCTTATGATTAGGCAAGGCTGTGAAGTAGTAATAGCAACTCAAGGTCGTTTCTTGATTTTCTGAATAGGCGTTATACTGTCTTGAATAAATGCAATTATATAGTTCTTGATGAAGCTGATCGAATGGTAGACATGGGTTTTGAACCCCAAGTTATGGGGTACTCGATGCAATGCCTTTCCAACAACTTGAAACCTGAGAATGAAGATAAAGAACTCGATGAGAAGAAAATCTACCGTACCACTTATATGTCCAGTGCTACTATGCCGCCGGCTGTTGAGCGATTAGCGAGAAAGTATCTCAGGAATCCTGTTCTGGTCACAATTGGTACAGCTGGAAAAACAACCAACTTGATCTCCTAGCATGTCATGATGGTGAAAGAATCAGAGAAGTTCTCTAGGTTACAGAGATTGCTCGATGAGCTGGCAGATAAGACAACGATTGTGTTTTTATGATGAAACAAAGAACGCTGATTTTCTTGCCAATAATCTAGACAAGAATGGGTTTCATGTTACTATTTTGCATGGAAGTAAGTCTCAAGAGCAGAGAGATTATTCTAGAGGGTTTTAGAACAAAGAGGTACAATGTCTTGGTTGCTACAGATGTTGTTGGTCGTGGTATAGACATTCCTGATGTGGCTCATGTGATCAATTACGACATGATGGGTTCTATCAAGGGGGTACACTCATCGTATGGACGTAATGGGTGTGCTAGAAAGACTGGTGTTGCGACGACGTTCTGTAATGAATGAGGGTTTAGTTGTAATAGGATTTAATTGGGGTATTAGTTTGTAATTAGGTGGTCATATAAAAGAGGGAGTAAGCTCTGTAAAGGGAACTATCGAATAACAGAAATCAGTTTATCAATCTTCTTCTTCCTATACTCTGCCTTCTCCCTTCTTCTCCTGCTTCTGTTCTCCCTCTTCTTCTCAAATCTCTCTTCCTTCTCCTATAATTCTCCTTCTGATTCTCCAATTGAGATCTCCATTCCATTCCTTTGATCGATTAACTCGCTGAGAAGATCCAGTTCCGACTCCGACTGTTACACGTTCTTAACTTTTCTGGATACTAATGTGTTCTATGACTTCAAGAAGATGCTTGTACAAAGTAATAGTGTTGTGCCTCCAGAATTGGCTAAACATGAAGCTTCAAAGTTCAAGTATGGGTCGAATCCCTATAGACCTCTTAGAAGAAATAACCCAATCTTTACTCACTAAACACTGTGGTAATTGATTTCATTTTGATGCAATTTTGGTGAACTATTTACTTTTGACAATTTTGTGAGAGCCTGGGAGGTGTTTGGTGTGTTATATTACTTGATTCTGGTTGGTCGTTTGACTAATGGATGTCTAAAGAGTTACTTCTTATAGACTTGTTTGCCTTGTTGTTCTGTTACATGCTCCCTTATCCTGCTGCCTCATTATCTCTCTTCTTTTCAGCTGCCGTTTGAAATGTTGTAAGCACTCTGATGTACCATTTGGGGATTCATAAACCTCTTTTTGGAGAGAAAGGAGTTTCATTAGCTGAAGGTAGAAGTGGCTTCCATGAAACGGTTGCTGCTCAAGTTTTGAAGGTTAGACATGTACTTGTTGCTTGCATGAACAAAATACTTGAAAAAGCACTATCAGCCAGATGCATTTTTTATGGGTTTGTACTTTTCTTGTAGTCTTTGATGGAACACATGGGTGGTCTTTTGCAAGTGGCCACTTGAAGGATCTTTCTACGTTAAACTGGAAAGAATTTTCAACTCAAAATAAGCAACGCACTAGACTGCTTATTTATTTACCCCCGCGCACTACACGTGCTCTTTTTAGGTCATACTCCCCGGCTTTGTGCATCTGAGCCCCTTGTGAGCTGATAGCTCGATGGCATATATTTGTTCAATACAGCCCGAACCCGCGGTCTCGACTCTTTCCTTCGCTCAATGTTATTTTATGTTGTGTCCCCTCTAGTACACGGTATGGCCATCCTCGTCTTGTCCTCGCCAACCTACGCATATTGTCTCATCCTCTTCGAACTATTCTAGTCTGCTATTCTTCTACCCCTCAGGTCGTGATTGTGCCTCAATAGGGACTGTCATCATAGAGGAGGAGTATGAGTAAGATTCAATTAGCCAATATGTTGGCAAAATACCTCTGGTACCATTAAAGTATGAAAATTTGAAGAATTATACCACTTAAGTAAGAAAATGGCTTGGCGTGTCAATAAACTCTATTATATATGCACCTAGTACCATTTTTTTTTATGGGTAACCTTCTTCATAGTATTAAGACGAACCCATAGTTACTTCATCTAGCAAAATCTGGTCGACAAGAAATATCGGTAGTCGATCCAACCAAACCTCCCGAATCTCCCAACGAGTCTCACTATGTGCCATTATGTGGGCTACCTCAACAGCTTCCCTCCTAACATGAAGAACACGTCATTCTCGGTTCCTATCTCATCCATATAAGCCATAATGTGTCTGTAGATGACTCCCACTTATGTGCTGACACTCGTCGGCACCCCGAGCTTTTCCACCTTCAAGGCAGACAATCCACTTCAAGCTCCACATGTTGATACCCTAGTTGTCTAGCCAGCTTGATGCCAAATTCAGCGGCCAACGAATCTGCCAGCTCCACATGATACCTCCCTTTAATTTTCTTGGCCGCAGCTACAATGAAACCACCCCGCCCATCTCAACTAACAGCCCCTAGTCCCGCTCACGTATTAGCCAGGATCCCCGTGTCGGTATTAACCTTCATCCACCCTGCTGGAGGTCTCGTCCATGTGGCCTGCTGTATGTTCTGCATAGTGACTGCTTCTCACTCATGATGTGAGCTGTATACATCGAGCATATCCTGAGCTCGGGCGACCACTTCTTCCTTTGGCCATTTACTACCGTTAAATAACTACCTATTTCGTTCTTTCCACATCGCCCAAAGAAGCATCGACCATTGCTCGAGTGTCTCTTGATACGCCTCCCTCATTACCTTTGTGACCCACTATAGGCAGTCCGTCATACCCTGTGCATAAAAAATTCCTGACAAGGAAGAAGTTCGCCATATCCTCATGCTCCATCTACAGTCAAAGAAGAGATGTTGTTGGGTTTCCTGCTGGTTGCAAAAGGGGCAGATATCCTCTACTTGCTGTTCTTGGCACTCACCTTAACTTCAGTCGGGAGGATTTCTCTAGTAAATTGCCACATGAACTGCTTAACTTTTGGTTGAATATCCATACCCCATAGAGCCTTCCAAACCTCTCCTTCACCCACCACAATACCCTCCTCTTCCTTAAAATCCTTGAGCCAAACTTCGTACCCACTCTTGATAGAATAGTTACCATCATTACTATCACTCCATATGAAATGATCGTGTTCGGTACTTTCCCTTAGAGGAATAGTTAGGATAGTCTGAACTATCAGCATCGGGAAACAACTCTCAACCAGCTTCACATTCCATTGGTCCATATCAGGATCAATGAGTTCCCGGACCAGCGAATCAACTAGTATCCCTCTAAGTCATTTCCGCACTTGGTAGCCATCGAACTCCCCAAATTCTAACCTGAGCCCCGTTACCAATCCTCCACCGAAGCCCTTTGCACACGAATTCTTGCGCTTTCCGTAGACTCAGCCACGCGAAGCTCGCGTTACTACCCACACATGCATCCGAAATCAAGCAGTTGTTATGGTACTTCCCCTTGAAAATGATTGTTATAAGCGAGTCCGACCTCTGGTACAGGGACCACAACTGCTTTGCCAACAAAACTAGATTGAAGCCCTTGAGATATCAGTAGCACGAGTTCTTCTCATCTAATCGAATGTGGCCTTAGTTCCGATCCCATTTGCCCCACCAAAAGTTAGTGATCATGCTATGTCCTCATCCAGGATACCTTTCGACAGTTTGAATACCGACATGGCATACGAGAGTTTGCCTGCGCGGTCGACTTGATGTGAACTTTGCGTGTTGACCCCGACATTGTGCGCTCCTTCCACCCTTTCAGCTTGCTTCTTACATATTATTTAAGTCCGCTAAACAACTCCTTCATCGATCTACCCACCTCCGTCGCCAGTCCTAGGTATTTCTCGTGTTTCTCCACCATCTCCATTCTCAATGTATAGCTGACGATTAATTTATTATGGGGCTTGACATTGGCTGCAAAAGAGACCTTTGACTTCTGGAAGTTGACTACTTTCCCGGACTCTCACGCTTATGCCTGCAATATATTATTCAGCTCCAGACTCTCCTATTGATTACCCTGGCAAAAAAGATATTATCGTCAACAAAAAATGGATGGGTAATCATCGAGACATCCAGTATCATCTGTAGAAAATGCAACCTATTTTCAAATACTGCTTTGGTTGTATAAGTCGACAATCCCTCCTCACAAAGCAGTAGAGATACGGTGATAAAGGGTCACCCTGTCGTAGCGCTCTTGGAATGAACACAAGAGATTTGTGCCCATTGACTAGCACCGAGTACGTGACCGTTGTCACCCCCGTCATGAAGAGAGAAATCCACCGTTCAGCAAAACCCAGTCATTTCATCACCCCTTCCTGATACCGCCACTCGACCCGATCATAGGCTTTCCCCATATCTATCTTTGCTGCATAGATTCCAAATTGCTACCTTTTACTTCTCTTCATTGTGTGGAAAATCGAATGTCGTCATTATGTTATCTGTAATGTAATGCCCTGCCACAAGGCGCTCTACGAGGGAGAAATTATCTTGTCAAGAAGCAGTTTTAGACAATTGGCAAGCACCTTCGGCACAATCTTGTACTGGGCATTACATAAACTGATGGGGTCCTTTAGCTTGGGGATGAGGATAATAATGGTATGGTTCAAATCTCCTGACATCGTCCCCATCTCCAAGACTTGTTGTATGGCCGCCCCAATATCATCACCTAACACACTCCAGTATTTGCGGAAAAAGAATATCGAGAGACCATCCACTCCCGGTTGCTTCCACTTCCCCATCTGTTTCAACTTTCAATGCTCCCCAAACCTCCTCTCTCATAAAGGGGCGCAACAGTTCTCTGTTTTTGTCTTCTCCAACCCTTTGCTTCAGTGAGTTCAGGACCGACCATGAGGTAGGGATCGTACCCAATGTGAACAGACCAACGAAGTGATCAACCATACAGGTAATAACTTCCTCATGCCCCACGTGCCATCGTCCCGTCTCATCCTGAATTCTTTTAATGGTATTTCTTTTTTGACAAGCAGAGGCCTTCTTACAAAAAAAGGTTGTGTTCATATCGTCCGACTTAAGCTAATCTGCTCGAGAGCGTAGTTTCTAGTACCATCCCCTCTGAATCTCCTCATCCTTATGTCCACGCGTATCACAGTATATAGGGCGGTGGTATGAGTGAGCTCAATCTCCATGAAGCACTTGACTATACCCAAACATTCACATCCATTTCTCATTCGCTACAAATCGATCCAACCTTTCTTCGATGTGTCCCCTCTTACTCGCTTATTTTGACACGTGTACGGATAACCTTGAAATCCGAGGTCCATTAAACCTAAATCACTGAGACAATCATCAAAATTACTCATCTCTATTTAATGCACGTGGTTCCTGCCACTTTTCTCTTTAGTGGTGCGAACCTATTTTAGGTCACCTCCACAAAGCCAAGGTCTGTCCCACTCCTCACACTGGCTGCGAATAAGCTCCCAGGTTCGCCGCTTTTTGTTACTCTCTGGCCACCCATAAATCCCAGTAAAGCGCCACTTCTTCCTGCCACCACAAACTCACACCCCTCGCTCGAGGGTGAGATCAACATCTGGACACACTACGAGGTGAGATCAACATCTGGACACACTATGCTCTTCTTGTACTCGCATAAGTCTCAACAATTCATTTTCGTCTTCCATTTGTTTAGTTTCCATAATGAAGACCACATGGGGGAACATCAACGTAAAAACGCCTTTAGGGAGTTTATTGCTCGCATATTCCCGAACCTATGGCAGTTATAGCTCAAAATCCTCATCTATTACCTAGAGGGGATCGACTCTCCGCGCCTTTCTTAGTATTACCTCCCTGAGACTTGGATGTAGTCTCCATTGATCGTATTGTCGCTTTGGTCTTCTCTGAACCATGTGATTGTCCAGTAAGGCCTTCCACCTCTAGAGGGTTCGTGGATTTCTCTTGCCTTTTTAGGTCGACCACTTAAATTTATGGTTAAGTGTATTCCGTTAAAGTTAGCAGGTATTCTATGAATATTCCATTTTCCAAAA